CCACAACAAGGATCAGCCTCCATCTCCACCATCCTTTGGTGGTGCTGCCTACAGCGAGGCTGGGCCTTCTCAGTTCTCCCAAAGCCAATTCTACTAGATAGTAGACTTGGCGTTCTACACCTGGCGATTCACATTCCCCTAAGGCATGGTAGGTTTAGAAATGGCACATGTTAGGGTAGTCATGGTACCTCGCATGCCACTGCAATTTGTACTACTTCATGTGAAATGGTGTGCGCAAAATTGCATGATGTATCGTAGGAGTAGGCACGCAACATAGCACATGAATATAACTGTTATTTCATTGTAATGCCGGGATGTACCTTTATTTACACTTTCGTGATCAATGTCAGTTTCATTTTCTACCGGAAAAGGCAACCTACGTTTCGTCAAACGGCTATCAAGAAATTTATTCACAATTTCTAATTCCATAGATCGACAACTTAAAACTTAAATTCATGACCAATACTCTCATAGATTTTTGGGAATATATTCTCAATGATTATTGCCGGGAGAAAATTACTAGGCACCTGTCGTCTGTGGAATTGGCGACAGCATCTTGTCGCCATTTCAACAGCCAACAGGCTCCTATCGCCATTTCAATAGCCGACAGCCCCATGTCGCCATTTCAGGTGCTGACACCGTACCCACTGTCGCCATCTCAAATGCCAACAGGTCACTTGTCGCCATTTCAAATGGCGACAGGTAGGTGGGGCCCGCTTGTGTACGTCGTCGGCCGACACGGTGATTGCCACATCAGCCTGTCGCCATTTGAGACGGCGACATGTCTCTTGTCACCATTTCATGTGGCGACAGACGGCTAGTTTTGCAATTTTTTTAACATCATTTATTTCTGCAATTTTCCATTAAAATACTACTCTCTCCGTTCCAAATTATAAGTCGCTTTGACTTTTGTGGTTCATCCATTTTGCTACGTATCTAAACATAATATTATATCTAGATGCATATCAAAATAGATATACCAAAAAAATCAAAGTGACTTATAATTTGGAACGGATGGAGTATTATTTAAAAAAAAATTCAACAACAGATCAGGTCCTGCCACATCTGAACACGATACACACGTGCACGTTGCCTGGGTTCATCGTCGCGAGCGCTTCCTTGGCTTCTGTTCATCTCGCTGGGCCCTCTGTGTCCTTTTTTTTGGACCCACTACACCGGTACTTCCTTTTTTTTCATCACCATTATCGCGAACTGAGCGTAGGTTACTTGTGGTGGAACCTATCCACCGAGTTCAAGCCCCATACTCAGCACAGGTACTCCTATTTTCAGCTAATATTCTTTTAGGGATGGACGTCGTGCCCATTGAGTGAAAAAATTCGTACCCACTGAGTGGAAAATTTTATCTCACTCACCGTTGCTGATGCCAATAAGGAAAGGGATGGAGGAAAACAAAGAAGAGAGATTGGATTAGCAAATGGTTGATTGTAGCAAAAGCCAGATAGTGAATTGCGGCAGCATGCGTCCTGATGACTGATCGACCTGGTCGTAACTATATAGCGATCGAGAAATTAAGACATGCACATACTATTCTGCCTCCAGGCCCGTCGCCCCCGGCTCGGTTGCTAGCTTGCAATTAATATTGCGCTGTCTGGCCAGCTCACGATTAAGCAACAGATGGAGAGGGAATTCACACACCACTTGATTGTAGCGCGTTGGCTGGCTGCACTGAGTTCTGTTGACTCAGCAAACAAGTGAAAAACGTAGTTTTAGCTTATTTCCCGCGACTTAATTAATTTCGACTACATCATCACCGGTTCAAGTATGTAGTAGTCAACCACGAAATTTCCGCTGCAGGAGGGACTCATCACACCTAACTAATTAACCCACGAAAGCTAGATAGATAATGACCAGCCAAGAAACTTCTGCCGCGCGCATTTTCGCCGCTATATACTACCTCCATTTATAAATATATGACGTTTAGGACAAGTTACTTAGTTAAAAAATGAATTAATTTGGTTGTCCTAAACGTCATATATTTGCGAATGGAGGGAGTAGTATTACAGTAGGGAACTTGTTTTGCTTGTACTGTCGTCTATATATATGCGCGTCGAGCACAGGTATAGTAGCCTCAGCTCCCTTGAAGGATTGGACTCTTTGCAAACAAATAATCTAGCTAGACCCGGCCCCTTAAGCTCTCGATCGGCGCGGCAACTCTTTGATTCATTCGCGGGAATACTCAAATTAATACTGCTCACATTCATTTAGTGTATGGACCTATATATCATTGTCTATGCATCCGTGCCCAACTTGTTGCTTGCATAAAAGCCAAGTTCTCCTCTCTCTCCTCCCTTCTCTCCTCCACATCAGCATTTGCTTAGCTATAAGACAATTATTATACATGCTCTTAGGAGTTGGGCACGGGAATTAAGGAAGAATGAAAAAGTAGAGAGTGCATAGGAAGCGAGGGGTGGAGGAGGAGAGAGATAAAGATAGAGTTGTATTGGAAAGCGAGGAAGACACTTATTTAGGGACAAATTTTGAATCCTAGAAGAACACTTATTTAGGAACAGAATGAGTAGTAAGGTGGCCTGCGCATTTACACGGCTAGATTTGTTTTAATTAAAAAGTAATTTTTTACTTTATTAGTTTCCTTTTGATATCAGCATTTCATTGAACTGTAGCTGTCTATTTTTTGTGTATAGTCTCTACAGTCACATGGTCCATCAATCTAATAACGTCAAACTCATGTCGTCAATATGTATATCTTTTTTTAGCTATTGATGATCGAAGCTAAAACATTTTAATATATTACTTATCACAGAGCTATATTAAGTTTCATCACCTGGGTAATTACTGTGTTATATATATCCTGAACCCTCTAAATAAATGAAGTATTTATTTCTTTTATGTTGGTTAATGATCGATCTCATGTGTACCCTCAACTTATCAATTATATGTGTTGGCACCTTTTTTTGCGACTAATTAATTGTTGTGTCTGGTTCTGGTCTTACGTGTTTTTGTGTATTAGCCTGAAATAATATTTTCTGGCGTGTTACCATGCTTTCGATTTGTACCTTTTCATTAAGGTTTTTATTTTTATTTTATTCAAGGAAATATTTCATTATATGAACAAACTTTTATACCGTTGCTAAATACTGCGGAGGTGATGATAAGCCGTGTAGAAAGAACAAAAAAAAAATTTGGGGCTCAGATGTGTGCATAACTCAGTCTGACCTAATTGAGTTAATTGGACTTTTGGGAATCTGCGCCTTGTTGCCCTTTGAGATCCTGCTTAAACAGCATAATATGTATGCAGTAGTGCCAACTATTCAGGAGTAGTAGCTCATGATAGGTTATATATAGTAATCACCCAGCAAATCAACTTTGCACATCAGTGCCTAATTCCAAGCGGCACAACAGAATAACCTTCGGCCTGTTCGCTTGGTCGTAAACGATCGTAAATTTCTAGCCAGAACAGTATTTTTCTCTCACACCAAACCAGCCAGCAGTAATAATCCACGATCGTATACGATCGTTTCAGCCCCAGCCGAACAGGAGTTATTTATATCTGAGCCCAACCTGGCAACAGGCGCAGAACTTTGTTGCACTACTACTCAAAGGCAGCATAAGCAAAGCTATGATAATAATAACAAACTAAAAGCCAAAGAATCTATAAAACCATCTATATATTGACAAGTTAATGAAAACATGCTATATGTGTGAAAGCACAGGCGAATCGGCTAAAATAGCCGATGCATGCATAGCAAACAAACAGAGTACATATCTCGATCATGAACAAAACCACTAATCAATAATCTCTAATCCAAAGTCTTACCAATGAGGTTTGACTGGATCGATACAGCTATGGTAGTGTCATTAGATTAGATCTCATTAACTAGTGAATTTATTCAAGATTTAAACATGTCTTTGATTGCATACTATGTTCGATTTGAATAGAGATAAAACAGCCGATCTAGCGGAATTAATTCGTTAATCATGAGATTCAAAGTGTGACCAGAGTAGAAGACGACCAATTATGATGATATGATGCTGATCTATTTATATCTCAATCAGATGATTTGCTATGATTAATAAAACATTAATTATAACAAGATCGATAACCAGTAAATCAACCAAAAACAACAAGAAAAATCTTACTAATCTTAGCAGATTCGATAACTGGTGATATTGTATTAACCAACAAGTTATTTAACACAAGATCGATAACTTTGATCTATATTATGATTCGTAGGAGATCAATCAGATGATGCAGGCATGCAGCCTTACAAATAATGATACAGATAGATAACTAACTTATATTATACTCGTAAAAGATCAATCGGCTGATGTAGCTTTACAAGTATGGTACAAGTCGTGATGGTACTTACAAACAAGCCGGAGGTTGATCAGTCGATGCAGCCCTGCTTGTTGAAGAACTCGTCGAGATCTACAGTACTCCTACTCTTAAGGGTTGGCATGAAGCCGAAAAAGTAATTGTGTTGATTGATTGGTTGTCTTACAATAGCCGGGGTCTAATATTTATACCCGGAACCTAAACATGAATCCTATTCAAATACGACTCATTACAATTCTTGGAGTAAAAGAAAACCCTAAATAAGCAAGACACAACACATCACATGTGTAACTTTGCAAAATCTATTTGCGTCAAGAACAATCCTACGTTGTTAATTTTGATTTATTTATAGGAAAAGTTCAAATTTTTACTGATTTTCAAAACATGACAAAAATTCAGGGTGTTACACCGTGCGGGTATAAAAGGGGAGATGGTTAGGGTTTGAAACCCTAACCGCCCAACCACCGCAGCCACCGCCCTCTCTCTGGCCTGCAATGATGGCCGCCGCTTCTTTCGCTTGGCGGCGGCCGAGCACCGCCATTGTTGTTTGTTGTCTGCTGCTTTTCTTCTTTGTCGGTCGTCGTCATTGCCACTTCTTGCTGCCGGCCGCCAGACACCAGCCTTTGGTGGTGGTTGTGGCCGCCACAAGACAAGGCCAGCGCGCAACCACCACCGTCGGGGCCCGATGTTGCCACCGCCCATGTGTGTCGCCCCCATCTTGTCCCTCCGCGTCCTCCTCCCATGGCGTGCTCAAGCCGAGGCTCTTGCTCTAGCCATGCAGGCGGCCGGTAGGGGGACCCATCTCATCTCTGGCGAGCTCGCCACAAGGGCCGCCGTCATTGCCAAGCCGAGAATGGCAGATCCACTCCCACCGGCCCGTCCCAGGCCGCTCAGAGGCGGTGAACCGCCCCCTTCTCGTCAGAGGAGTAGGGGTACCCGGCTTCGAGGGTGTTTCTGAGCGGGAGGGTGGTCCGGCGCAGGCCATGACGGCGGGTGGCGACAGACTGCTAGTTTTCCAATTTTTTTGAACGTCATTTATTTCTGCAATTTTCCATTAAAATACTACTCCATCCGTTCCAAATTATAAGTCGCTTTGACTTTTGTGGTTCATCCATTTTGCTACGTATCTAGACATAATATTATATCTAGATGTATAGTAAAATGGATATATCAAAAATGTCAAAGCGACTTATAATTTAGAACGGAGGGAGTATTATTTAAAAAAATTGAACAACAGATCAGGTCCTGCCACATCTGAACACGATACACACGATGCGCGTTGCCTGGGTTCATCGTCGCGAGCGCTTCCTTGGCTTCTGTTCGTCTCGCTGGGCCCTCTGCGTCCTTTTTTTTTTGACCCGCTACACCGGTACTTCTTCTTTTTTTCATCACCATTACCGTAGTCCATACAAACTGCTTTGCTCAAATTTGATCCACTACACGCGGTATGCCGGTACTTCCTTTTTTTTTCATGTTTGTTAGTGGCCTGGTCTCTTTGTTGCTTGGCTGTTATTGATTGTGTTCGATCCGTTGCCAGCACCTGACATATTAAGCCTGTTCGCTTAGTCGTATTTGGCTTATAAGCCATGGCTTATCAGCCAACCAATAGTATTTTTCTCTCACATCAAACCAGACAACAGTACTTTCAGCCATGGCTTATAAGCCGAACAAGCCCAAACGAATAGGGCGATTGCTGCAATCTTTTGACAACATTCGCCTGAAGCATCGGATCAGGGAAACTGTTGATTAATTTAAATTCTCATGTAATCAAAACGACAAGGTCAATTATCGCGAACTGAGCGTAGGTTACTTGTGGTGGAACCTATCCACTGAGTTCGAGCCCCATACTCAGCATGGGTACTCCTATTTTCAGCTAATATTCTTTAGTGATGGACGTCGTGCCCATTGAGTGAAAAAATTCGTACCCACTAAGTGGAAAATTTTATCTCACTCACCGTTGCTGATGCCAAATAAGGAAAGAGATGGAGGAAAACAAAGAAGAGAGATTGGATTAGCAAATGGTTGATTGTAGCAAAAGCACATACTATTCTGCCTTTCCAGATGACTGATCGACCTGGTCGTAACTATATAGCATCGAGAAACTAAGACACGCACAGACTATTCTGCTCCCAGGCCCGTCGCCCCGCGGCCCGGTTGCTAGCTTGCAATTAATATTGCATTGTAGCGATCGAGAAATTAAGACAGGCACATGCTATTCTGCCCCCTGTCCCGTCGTCCCCGGCTCGGTTGCTAGCTTGCAATCAATGTTGCGTTGTCGAGCCAGCTCACGATTAAGCAAGAGATGGAGAGGGAAAATTCACACACCACTTGATTGTAGCGCGTTGGCTGGCTGCACTGAGTGCTGTTGACTCAGCAAACAAGTGAAAAACCTAGTATTAGCTTATTTCCCGCGACTTCATTAATTTCGACTACATCATCACCTGTTCAGGTATGGAGTAGTCAACCACGAAATTTCCGCTGCAGGAGGGACTCATCACACCTAACGAATTAACCCACGAAAGCTTTCCAGATGATACTAGGTTTCCAGCCAAGGAATTTCTATAGTAGTATACTATAGAAATTTCTATAGTAGTATACTATTCTGCCTTTCCAGATGACTGATCGACCTTCGAGAAACTAAGACACGCACATACTATTCTGCGTCCAGGCCCGTCGTCCCCCGGCCCGGTTGCTAGCTTGCAATTAATATTGCATTGTAGCGATCGAGAAATTAAGACAGGCACAAACTATTCTGCGTCCAGGCCCGTCTCCCCGCGGCCCGGTTGAATATTGCGTTGCGTTGCGCTGTCTAACCAGCTCAGGGCATCGACAGTGTTGTGGGCGTCGACTTTTATCATACCGAGCGAACATGGTAAAACTCCTCACATGCCTTTGGGCATCAATAGTATGACAGGTACCGACATCTGCCATACCTGAAGAAGGCGACACAACCTCCCACATGCATTTGACATTCTACAGTAACATCAACAGTATTGTGGGCGCCTACAAACATCTTGTACCCGCCAGCGTGGGTAGCAAGACTTACCAGCGAACGTACTCTCTCCCTCTCACTTGTAAAACTATCTCCTTCATCTATAAAAGGGGATGTGCCCCCTCCAATGTAAGATAGTTGTCTTCAGTGGATTCAAGGTCATACAAGTCATTCCAGATTCATTAGATCAGCCAAGTTCACTAGTTCACAACCACAAAACCGTCAGGTTCCAACCTCAAGCATACGCTTGAACACTTAGCTCATAGAGGAGCTCCCGTCGCTCACGGCCCTTCCGACCGGAGCCAACCGGACCTCTTGTACACCCCATTTTTCTCCTTCTCATTTGTAACCCCACTGTAGACTTCGAGCACCTGGGCTTAGTAATAAAGTCACCGACCGACTCAAACTGGACATAGGGCACGTTGCCTGAACCAGTATAAACCGACCGACTACAAATATTTACGTGGTGGTCACTTTCTACGCCGACAAGAGGATTCTTGGCCTAAAAAGTCACGACTACCACATCTTTATTGAAAGATTGCTTCCTGTTGTGTTCCATGGGTTTCTACTAGATAATGTATGGCGCTCTTTGGCTGAGCTTAGTTACTTCTATCGACAATTGTGTGCCAAAGAACTTAGTAAAGATGTTGCTCGCTCTTTAGAACAGAATGTTGCGGTTCTTCTTTGCAAATTAGAGAAGATATTCCCTCCTAGATTCTTCAATGTTATGCAACATCTGATCATCCATCTACCTTATGAGGCACGATTGGGAGGGCCAGTTCTAGCCTGTTGGAGTTATCCATATGAGAGGTAAATCTGAAAAAATATCTACATATCAGTTAAGGCCCATTAGTTTTTTATTTGTAGCATATTCTCTTATTTCATAGGTTTATCCAGAAAATTAAGAAAAAAGTAAGAAATAAGGCACGTGTCGAGGCTGCCATTGTTGAGGCATTTCTAGTTGAAGAGGCTACAAATTTTCTTAGTCTATATTTCAAATCCAGTGCACCTTCTATTAGAAACAAGATGCCACGATATGATGATGGTTCATCTATATTTCAAGGTACATGTGACCTTGAAATTTTTAAATGCCCGCGTCGATGCATCAGCCCAATGGGTATCCATAGCCTCTCAAATGAGGAGCACAAGGTTGCTTTCTTGTACATACTAACAAACATACCTGAGATGATGATTTCTTCATGTAAGTTATACAAACTACTTGAGTAGTGTTGTCCCAAATAACCTGAACCTTTGATGTGAGTTGAGTATTGTTTCTACATGTAGACAATTTGATAAAGAGGAGTGGAAGAGCCAATCTGATCCCAATGAACAGCAACTTCATGATTTAAGGTTAAATGGTTGGAAAAATGCCCGTGGCAAACAGTTTGGGCCAAATTTTTTTGATTGGTTCCAACAGAAAGTAATACTCTTATCCATTTGTCAATATGTTTATATTGAATAATAAAAAATTCTAAAGAATTTTAACTTAGTTTTTTTTGTTTTAGGGCATGAAATCAGTTGGCATTCACAATGTTCTATGCCAGTTATCTTATGGTTTCTGCACTCAAGTTACCTCCTATGGGTGCTATGATGTTAATGGATATAGATTCCGTTCAGAGAAATATGAGAGGGGAAGACTTGGTTTAACAACCATCAATACTGGTGTTTGTGTTACTTCATATGATGAAAACAACAACGCCCTTGAGTATTATGGTGTCATAGAAGATATCATAAAAATTGAATGGGAAGGCAGTTTGAAACTAGAATTGGTTTTATTTTATTGTCGTTGGTTTGATCCAACACCTAATGGATTGAGGCGCACGAAAGATTTAGGCTTAGTAGAGATCAAGCATGCAATAAGGTTGAAAAGTTTTGACCCATTTGTGATGGCTAGTCAAATTACTCAGGTTTATTATCTATCTTACCCATGTAAGGATAAGGATCTATCTCCATGGTGGGATGTCTACCAAGTTGCTCCTCATGGATGTGTACCTCTTAATGGTGCAAATGATGAGTCCATGAGTTCTGAACATGTAATACATGATGTCGATCAAGAGGATGGATTGGATGGTACCTTTGTTATTGATTTGGGGGAAGCATTGGATTCTCTGGTATCTTTGGGCTCAGATGAGATTATTGATGTGGTAGACTTGGAGACAATAGAGAAAACCACGGTTGAGGATGAGGAATATGATGAAGAAGCTATTGATGAAGAGGGTAACACTACAGAGGAAGAGCATGAAGCAATAACGGATGAATTAGAGGAAGAGACTTATGATCATGATGATTATTGAATTTTTAGTCATGAATTTGTAGCGCTGTAATGCTATTGTGTATCACTGGGATAAAATGTACCCTTTATACCTTATTTTGATATTAAATCTGGACTTGGAGTTTTGTATTCTACGGCTATTTTCTGTAATCTGAACTTGGTGATATTAAATCTGAATTTGGTGTTATGTAGCTGTAGCTTGGTGTTATAGAATACAATATTCTAACTCATCATTCCTATGCATTTGTTTAGTTCTATTTAGCTGATGTATACTATTGAATACAATATTCTAACTCATCGTTCCTATGCAGATGGCTCATGGAATCTATCATGCACGTAAAAATCGTCTTCCTAGGAGGCATGGATCTGAAATGGGTGCTTCTCAAGAAACAGCCACCCAAACAAGTGCATCTCAAGGAACAACCACTACTAATGGATCCTCACAAAGGACTAGACCTGCTGCCCCTCTCGAAGTAGAGCCTCCTAAAAAACGAGGAAGGAAGCCGGGGACTAGAACCAAATTAAAACCACTTCCACCATCTAGCCGGGTGGCTCTTTATCCAAGTGGTGACTCGTGAGTAAATTACCAACTAATTCATATTGTTAGGTTCCATTTTTAGTTATTTATAAAAGCATCTGCCATTTATGTACAGGCAATTTGGTTATGTCAACTACAACTGCAAGCCCCCTTACAGATACACTACTCAACTTGGTGTCATTCTCAAGAGAGAGTACCTAGGTTTGCTTCAAGAAAAGGATGAGGATGGTGTACTGATCAGGGAGCGGCCAGCTCTAGACTGGCCTGATTATTTTCTGGGTAGTGTGAATAAAGAAGGCATGACAAATGGGGAACGTGTGCTCTATGAATTTTGGGTAAGAGGCATGTTTTTTTGTTAGGTTCATTTTCATGTGTCACAACTATGTTGGACTTCATTCTACTGTTAATACATTGTAGATAAGAACTTGAATTTCTTAACGAGTCTTCACAATTCATGCTTCTTTTGTCATATAAACGTAGAGAGCATATTTCCATTTCATATTGTTAACTGAAATTTCTTGGTACACATGCAGCGGTTGTTCCAAGTTAACGAAGAAGATCAGGCAGAGGCGGATCTTGTTCTTGACAACTATTTGAAGAAAAAGGTGAGGGACATCATGTATCAAGCCCGTGTGGATTGTGTAAAGGCTACTACAGAAAAAGGGGTGAAAGTTTAGATGATACACTAGCCCGCACAATTGAGCTTGAATATGAACAATACAAGGTGGTCAGGCTGGACTAGTTCAATGATGTTGTGTGGCCGGTTCTATGTCACTATTGGTGCTCAGAGGAGTTCAAGACAAAATGGAAGATAGGATAGGAATGTCGCTTCAGTTCTGATGATATTGCTCAAAACCATGGAGGGTCTAGACCCTTCACAGAGACACAACAAGTTCTGGTATGTTATGTGTATGTGTATCTTTGACTTAATATTTGCATACAAATGTAAACATGTCTATTTTGATGCTGCTCATTAACTATTTGTATTTGTAGGCACATAGGTTTGGACAACATAAGGGAACCCCTATTAATGCATTTGCTGCAATGAAATCTGGCATGAAAAATGTGGATAGCAGTGGTAATTGTGGTCCGATCAACAGCAACAAAGCACAACAATGCATGGTATGTAAATCTAAGTCTGGCTATGAAAACATACATTAATCGTTTAGTTTCTACAAAATTTTAGTTCTTGAAATCATGATAGCCTGAAATGGATACATGACTAGTGATTTCTGTTGAGCTTCTCCTGATCTTGGTTATGAAATGTCACTGAAGCCTTGGGTTCTAGCCCAGCCGTTGGATGGGGCGTGCGGGTGCGGAGATGGGGCACGCGGGTGCGCTGCTGGCCGGGTGCGCCGCGGCACCTCAAGCTCGGAAACCCCAGCTCGGAGGCCGCCCGCCGGTGTAGGTGCGCGGAGGCCGCCCGCCGGTGGAGGTGCGCGGAGGCCACCCACCGGTGGAGGTGCGCGGACGTCGGTGGAGGTGTGCGGAGGCCGCCCGCCGTTGGAAACCCTAGGGCGGGGAGCAGGCGCGTGGGTGTGGGGAGGGGGCGTGCGGGTGCAGGGAGGGGGCGCTCGGGTGCCAAGATGGGGCGCGCGGGTGCGCCGCGGCACCTCAAGGTCAGAAACTAGCACCGTCGGCCGGTCGGAAACCCTAGGGCTGGGAGGAGCAGGCGCGCGAGTGCGGGGAGGGGGCACGGGCCGACGTCGGGACAGCTCTGGCCTAGAGGCGGCGCCGGCGGGGCAACCTGACGGCGTCGGAGGAAGAAGACAGCGCCCAGCAGGTTGACTCCCGTGCGCCCATGTATTGACACTCGGGACTATTTCTAGGGGCGGTTCCTGATCCAGCCGCCCCTACAAATGCATTTGTAGGGGCGGTTCCTGATCCAACCGCCCCTACAAATATTTTCTATTTTTTTAAATTATAAATTCTATATTTTTTATATCATAAAAACACAAAGTAATATAAAAAAATTGTGTATATGCACAAATATAATATTTTGTATTATTCTATATATGAAGAAATATATATATAAACAATTGTAGTCAAAACAATATAGAAAACAAAAAAACAAAAATTAAAATTTTGAATTTTAAAACTTTGACTACAATTTTATGACATTAAATGAAATAAAATGAAAATGTTGTAAACATAAAAGTTGTATAACTCATCAACATGTACAACTTTTATTTTGGTCATCTTATCATGTGACTTTGTTTGAACGATTCAAATTTTGAAATTCAAATAATTTTAACTTTAAACAATATTTTGAAAGAGTAAATGATTTCAGATGAAAAACTCATGAATACCAAAGTTGTAGAACTCATCAATATGTACAACTTTTATTTTGATCATATTTTCATTTGACCAAATTTGAATAGTTGAAATTTTATATTTCAATAAATAACAACTTCAAACAAGATTTTGAAACCTTAAATGATTTCAACAATAAAAGTCGTGAACATAAAAGTTGTTGAACTCATCACTACCTACAACTTTTATTTTGGTCACTTCTTCATGTGATAAAGTATTAGTAAACATTGTTCATAAATTCACGTATGACTCATAGTTTCATGAACTATACAAGAAACATTTTGATTTGTGAACAATGTTTACTATCACTTTGTCAGATGAAGAAATGATCAAAATAAAAGTTGTAGAACTTGATGAGTTATACAACTTTGGTATTCATCACTTTTTCAGCTGAAATCATTTAATGGTTGAAAATCTGGTTCGAACTTGTCATTTTTTTAAATTTGAAAATTTAAAGTGCTCAAACTTTGTCAAATGAAAAGAATGCCCAAATCAACACACTAACTTGATAGGGCAAGATTTTAGAAAATTTTAGGAAAAAGAATCATCATATTTGGAGTTAGTATGAGGGAGAAAGATTAGTTACAAATTTTACCCAGAGATTAAAAAGAAAAATCACAACTGTTCACGATGATCAATGATGAACAAGTGTGATTTCTATTTTTAATCTGTGGCTGAAACTTGTAACTAGTTTTTCTCCCTCATACTAACTCTAAATGTGATGGTTTTTTTTCCTAAAATTTTCTAAAATTATGCTCTATCATTTTAGTCTAGTCATCTATCTTTGTCACTAATTTTGAACAATTCAAATTTTAAATTTCAGAAAATGACAGCTTCAAACCTGATTTTCAAACACTAAATGATTTCAGCTGTAAAGGTGATGAATATAAACGTTGTATAACTCGTCAAAATCTCTTACTTTTATTTTGATCATTTCTTCATTTCATAAAGTGTTAAGTGATTTCATAAAGTTTTAGTAGTAATAGAGTGGATGTTCAAATAGAGTCATCTGGATGTTGCAAAGGGTAGTCTCACACACATGCATAAATGTAGTCTCACACACATACAAAAATATGCAGTCTTACACACGTACATAAATATATAGTCTCACACGCATGCATAAATGAAGTCTTACAAACACACACATCTACACAAACACTCCACGTTCAACAACTAGCTAGCCCGCTGTAACGACTTTTCCCTTGACACCTTTTCGTTCCCATGGCATTATGTCTTTGGGGAGGTTATTTTCCACAACACTGATCTTCTTAGGAAAGTCTGTGAATAGCGGCATCTCATTGTAGTTATTGTAAGCTTCAACATCGTCCATGCCATCAACTCTAATAATGTGTTGTTTCCCGGAGGCAACCACGTGCTTTGTCTTATTCTTCAGGGGGAGGTTACTTTGTGGGTCAGACATATAGAAAACTTGTGCGACACGTGAAGCGAGCACCCAAGAGTCATCTTGGTAGCCTAGATTCTCGAGGTCTAGGACTCTCAATCCGATCTCGTTTAGTTGGTGTTGTTTGATCCAGCGGCATTGAAACAGGGCCACCATTATATCCCTTCCATAGTCAAGTTCCCATATCTCTTCAATGATGCTAAAGTATTGGATCTTTCACCCCAATCCATCGAGAGCCTCTATTCGAACGCCGTTGTTTTGGTTCACATATTTACTATCCTTTGCATGGGTATAGTACGTATACCCATTGATGTCATAAGCATTCCAAGATGTCACTTGTCTCGATGGCCCCTCCGCCAACCTACTGATGGTAATAGAGTCTATGGTTTCTCCAGGCGGTATGTTTTGGTCCTTCAACCATGTAGTTAGTCGTTGCTTGTGTTGTTTCATGACCCAATCATCCGAACGACCATTTCTCTGTGCCATAATGATAGCCAAGTGTTCATCAATGTACGGTTGCATCAGTTGTGTACTCTGCAAGACACTGTAATGCGCCCGACTCACCTCTTTGTAATCATGGTCGATGAACACTTTTCTACCACTGGTGCCCTTCCCAGCCACCCTACCCTTGTGACGACAATCGGGTTTACCAATCCCTTTCTGTACTTTTAGGTACTCTTGACAACACTCGACGACTTCTTCAGTACTTTAACCCTCTATCATGGAGCCCTCTGGGTATGCTCGATTATGCACGTATCGACTTAGAACCGACATGAACCGCTCGTAGGACCACATTTCATGCAAGTAGCAAGGGCCCAGCGCCTGTATCTGATGAACCATGTGAATCATGAGATGTGGCATTATATCAAAAAAAGCAGGAGGTAAACATATCTCCAGTTGGTTTTGTGTCTCCACCACAAATTCATGTAGGTCACTCAGCTCTTGCTTACCAATCGTCTTCTGTGAAATCTTCGAAAAGAAGTAGCACATGCGGGTGATGGCCATTTTCAAGAACTCTTGGCTTTATAGCCCTGATTGCAATAGGTAGAAACACTATCAGCATCACATGGCAATCGTGAGCCTTGCAGTGTGTTATTGACAAGTCCTTCATCGACACTAGCTTCTTCACATTTGCTGAAAACTCAGTCGGGACTTTGATCCCCCTCGAGAAAGTGCATATAGCTCTCTTCTCGTCTGGTGTTAGGTTGAAGCACGCCGCGGGCAGAGTGTATTTTCCATTAGCCTCAGGCACCAGGTGAAGTTGTGGCATCACATTTAGTTGCACCATATGTTTTCGTGCTTTCAGACCATCCTTTGACTTGCCTATGTCCATCAAGGTAACAATGAGACTCTCAAAGACATTCTTCTGTACGTGTATAGCATCAATGGCATGGGCGACCTACAAGTCTAGCCAATAAGGCTGATACTGAAAGAAGATCGATTGTTTCTTGAAAGGTATGCCTTCGACAGGAGGTGTGCATCTATCTCTGTTTTCCACCATTCTGTACACGTGTTCTCCATTATGACGTCTCTCCAGAGGGGGTTCAATCTCCGGGGCGTTGTCATAAAATCTAAAGAACAATTTGATGCGGTACTTGTGACTTATCTTTAAGAAGCGTCGGTTCCTTAGGTAAACTATCTTCTTGGATGCATCCAGGCACACCCATGTAGTACCATCCAAGCAAACCAAGCATCCCGTCTTTCCTTTGATCTGTCCAGACAAAGCATACAGCGCGGGGTAATCATTGGTAGTAACAAATATTATTGCTCTACATATGAAGTCCTCCTTTCGGAATGCATCGTACATCTGCTCCCCATGCCTCCATAGCCTCTCCATTTCTTGCATCAAAGGCTCGAGGAACACGTCTATATCAATGCCTGGTTGTTTAGGGCCAAAAATAAGAATAGTGAGGAGAAGGTACTTTCTCTTCTAACACAACCATGTTGGGATGTTGTACATGGTCAAGATTACTGGCCATGTGCTGTGGTCGCTCATCCTCTCATTGAAGGGATTTATTCCATCGGTGCTCAAGCCAAACCATACATTCCTTGGGTCATCGCTAAATTCTTTGTGCTTCTCATCAAACCTTTGCCACTGACTACAATCAGCCGGGTGTACAATCTTATCATCATCCACCTTGCGCTCATCATCTCACCATGTCATGAGTGCGGCTTCTTTAGGGTTTAGGAAGATACGTCTCAAGCAGTCGGTCACTGGCAGATACCACAATACCAAGGCAGGAATTCTTCTCTGCTTTGCATCGTTGCCTAATGGAGTGTCCTCTGGGGTTGAGATTCTTGTACCACCTTTTTTGTACCCTTCTTATTCCTCTTTTTCCCCATGAAGGGTTCGTCCCCACCATAAAGGTCATTGTTTTTGTTCCGGCTAGCCCCACACCGGGGACATTTATCCAGTGACTTGAACGTTTCGCCACGAAAAGTATACAGTGGTTGGGGCATGCATAGATTTTTTCAACCCCCATTGT